TATTAGAGCATAAGCTTTCGTGGACGACAGCCCCCTGGACAGTCCACGAAAGCTTATGCTCTAATAAATTTGTTAGTCTCTAAGGTGCCACAAGTACTCCTGTTCTTTTTGCGGATACAGACTAACACGGCTGCTACTCTGAAATCAGCCAGAGGTTATGAGCCTATTGCAGGAGTAGGTGAGGTTCTGTGACCTGCGATGTGCAGGAGGGTCTGACTAGATGATTTTGATGGTCCCTTCTGGCCTTAAAGTCTAGGAGTCTATCAGTAATGGGAAGTGTACATCTGCTCTTCCTCACACAGTACTAAGACTTATTCCTAAGTATTTAAAGTGCAATGTGGAAAACTCTCCCAATATTGGAGCGTGATTATAGTTGCTCTTGTATTGGGATTCACATTTTCAGTTTAAGCCTAGAACAGCATCAGTCATGCTCTTTAAAGAATCACTTTTCAAATAAAACTTTAAAATAGAAGCAAAGAAAATGGGCAAAGATACTTGCAATGGAATTTGCATTTTGTTCACATTGTCCCATGTAAATTGCAACCTGTATTATTATTTGTTCGTTTTGTGATTCACTTATTTGTAAGTAGATGTGGTAATATACAGAATGAAAAGATCGGATCAAATTAAGCTGTTTTTAAAAGCTTTTATTAATATCTTTAATTTGTTTCATTGCTGATGAAACAACCAATTTCTGTTCAAATTCAGGAAGACACAATTTCCACAAGTCTGTAAACATTTTACGAAAAAGTTACAAAGCACTAAATTAAGGCAGTTGTGTGAGCTTGGTCAATCACTTCATTGGTAAAATTGGATAATATTTCCTTTGTAAAGAGATTTTAAATCTGCCGATTAAAAGTACTGTATAAAATAAGTTCTGAATTATATCAGCCCAAAAAAACCCAAAAAACAAAACCCTTGAGAATGAGTTAACAAAAAAATCTGTAATTGTGATGTTAAACAAAAATAAATGCTAAATACTTCAATCAAAACTACAGGAATACATGAAGACTACCAGTTACCATACTATGACCTAGTCCCTTCAGATCCTTCAGTTGAAGAAATGAGGAAAGTTGTTTGTGAGCAGAAGCTGAGACCCAATATTCCAAACAGATGGCAAAGTTGTGAGGTGAGTATTACTAAATGTGCAAAAAACTAAAATAATTCAAGAAAACTGCAGCTTTTAAAGTATTTAAATCCGTTTTTTGTCTTGATTTTTGTAGAATGGAGATGCATATGTGCCTCTGAGAGAACTTTAGTGGCTTTGTGATAATTATGAATTTATTATATGATGCTGGTCAGTGGATGTGGTTATGCACAAAAATTTAAAACTCTCTTACAAAGGCTGGCTAGTTTGACAAAAGAATTCTCAGAGCCCTTCACGTGAACAGTGGCTAAAGTTACTTGTCCATGAAATTAATGTGTGACTGCATATGACACACAACAAAATTATCCAGGAAACCTCACTGCAGATCAACAAATGTATTTCATTACTTCTAATTAAAAATATAAGAAACTGAATAACACATGTTTCAGAGGACAGTTTTTATCTACAATTGCAGGACCATGTAAATGTCTGGCAAATTACCAGAATATTAACCAAGGAGTGAAAATAATCTGTGCTGATTGTACTTAGTTTGCAGTCTTCAAGGTATAAAACGCCAAATATGATATCATGGAAATCATTCATTTCCATTCTCTGGATCTCTTTTGTTACAATGTCCTAATGTAGACAGATTCACAACAGTGACATGGTGGCAAAAATGCAGGGAAGAAACACTAGAGCCTTCTGTACACTAAGGCCATTTCTACACTATGGGGATTATAGTGGTATAGCTAAGGCCCTATAATGTAGATCCAGCCTGTCACAGTGGAAGGGATTTCTCTATTGCTGTAGGAACACTGCCTCCCCAAGCGACGGTAGCTAAATTGATAGAAGCATTCTTTCGTTGACCTAAGTGCAACTACACTGGGGATGAGGTCAGCATAAGTATTGCACTAGGGTGTGGATTTTTCACATCCCATAGTGCCATAGCTTTGTCGACCTGGTCTACACTTAAAATTTAGGTCTTAGTAGGATAAAGTGAATGAAGGGCAATTTACATTTGAATGAGATTATCTATGTCAGTTTAATGTGCTTTAACGTTACACCTTTAGTTAATTCATCTTAATTTTCCTGAGTATGCCTGTGTAGACAAGCCCAAAGTCTGAGGGTATTTAGCTAATCTGGGGGTTCTCAAACTGGGGGTCGGGACCCCTCAGGGGGTCATGAGGTTATTACGGGGGGGGGGGTTGCAAGCTGTCAATCTCCACCCCAAACCCCACTTTGTTCCAGCATTTATAATAGTGTTAAATATCTAAAAAAGTGTTTTTAATTTATAAGGGGGGGGGGGGTTGCACTCAGACGCTTGCTATGTGAAAGGGGTCACCAGTAAAAACAAAAGTTTGAGAGCCATTGAGCTAACCCCATTCATCTCAGTAGGTGTTGAGTGACATTAATTTAAAATGTCAAGCCTCCCTGGATGCTTAAAGCCTCCTTGTCTCCTACTCAACTGTCGAACATTTACTTAGTGCTGATGCGAAAGTCTGATATTAAACCAATTATTTTAAGTGGCCTCAAATTTTAAATTCAGCATACTACAAATTAAATTACACAAGATATTATACTGATTGGAGTAAACTGAGATTGGCATGGAGGGGTAAAAAGCTTAGAAGCAATACCATGTTTTTTTTGAAGTCTGCTACTTAGATCTGTGTAATCTAAGTGTATCACTTTTACAAAAGATTATTTTCCAGACTATATTTTAAAGCTCTAGCTTGAGTACTCTACCTCCTACAGTTCAAAACTATTAAATTATGAGTAAGAACATAAGAATGGCCATATTTAGGGTTACCAGATAGCAACTGTGAAAAAACGGGACAGTGGGTGGGGGGTAATAGGCGCTTATATAAGAAAAAGGCCCCAAAACAAGGACTGTCCCTTTTAAAAATGGGACATCTGGTCATCCTAGCCATATGGATCAGACTAATGGTCCATCTAGCCCCAGTATTGTCTTCCAACAATGGTCAACGCTAGATGCTTCAAAGAAAGAACAGAACAAGGCAATTACCAAGTAATCAATCCCCTGTTGTCCAGTCCCAGCTTCTGGCAGTCAGAGGTTTTAGGGACACCCAGAGTATGGGGTTGTGTTCCTGACCATCTGGGCTAATAGCCATTGATGGACCTATCTTCCATGAATTTATCTTTTGAATCCATTATTATTTTGGCCTTCCACTCGCAACAAGTTCACAGGTTGACTGTGCATTGTATGAAGTACTGTACTTCCTTATGTTGGTTTTAAACCTGCTGCCCATTAATTTTGTTGAGTGATTCCCTAGTTCTTGTGTTATGTGAAGGGATAAATAAAACTTCCTTATTCACTTTCTCCACACCATTCATGATTTTGTACATCTCTATTGTATCTCCCCTTACGCCTCTTTTTTTATTTTATTTTTTTTCCCTAAGATGAAAGGTCCCAGTCTCTCTCAATCTTTCCCCATATGCAGGGCTTTGGAGCTGTGCTTCGGCTCCGCTCTGGCTCCAGGCAAAAACCTGCTGCTCCACGCTCCAGCTCTGGGCTCTGCTCCAAAGCCCTGCTCATATGGAAGCTGTTCCATACCCCTGATCATTTTTGTTGTCTTTCTCTGTACCTTTTGCAATTCTAATATATCTGTTTTGAGATGGGGCATCCAGATTGGGGTACATAGCACTGAAGGTGTGGGTGTACCATGGAGTTATATAATGCCATTACGATATTTTCTGTCTAGTAATACAGACACTGAGCGTAACCACATTTGCCTCCTTTGTAGACTGGCATAGAAAGTAGACCTGTAGCAAGAGATATTTAGGTGAGATGTTATAAAAAAACTTCCAAGTATAAGGGTAGCTAAGCTCTGGAATGAGTTTCCAATGCAGGCTGTGGAATTCCCATCTTTGGAGGCTTTTAAGACAGGTTGGATAAACACCGGTCAGGGATGGACTAGGGTTACTTGGTTCTGCTGCAGCACAGGGAGCTGGACTTGGTGACTTCTTGAGGTCCCTTCAAGCCCTTTATTTCTATGTATTCTCCACTCCCCCCATGCCCTCTAGAATATATTGGTTGTAAAGCTAGAATATCTAGGATTCTTCAAGATTAGTTGTGTATACACATTCCACTTCAGGTGTGTGCACTCAAGTGGGAGACTTTTTTTGGTCAGCAGTACCCATTGGGGCAGCACATGTGCTCTGAGTGTCCTCATGTCTTCAACTGAGGACACAAAGGGCGGAACTGTCCTGATCCCACCTCAGTTCTTTCTCACTGCTTGTGGCTATTAGTTGGAGGCATGAGGGACACTCAGGGTGCATGTGCTGCCCCGATAGTTACCACTGACCAAAAGTCTCTGGCTTGAGTGCACTGGGTTCATGCACACATAAAGTAGAATGTGTGTGCAACACATCTCAAAGAACCATAGTGACTGTACAGGTAAGTAATCATTTCTTACTTGAGTGGGATCTTTCTATGTTTTGTATTTCTGGGCCATCTAGCACCTTGGTGCCATGGCATTCTGACTTAAATAACACACCGGGAACAATGATTCAGGAGTTTTTGTACTACTTGGGAATAAGGATTATCGCCGTCTTTCCATTGGACCAGCATTTTTTTTAGTACTGCAGTTTCAGCCCTTTACAGACGTTCATTTTCTGGTGTCATAGGTCTTGGCTAAGGTTCAAATTTATATATGACTTTATAACATTACTGTTTTTATAGAACTTAACTCTAAAAGAGGATGATAGTTTAATTTTATTCAGTTTTGATCTCAAAAAATGGGTGACTTTCTTTGAAAGGATAAAATGTCTGCAGTAGTTCTTGAACATTGTTAAACAAAGAGCATGAATAACTTTCCCCCCTGAGTTGAATTATGGAGTATTCTGAAGCCATGCAGATTTATCCTAAATTGATAACTAAAAGAAGGTATTAATTATTCTTTCAATAGCATGCAACACAATATATTCCCACATGACAGTTCTAGGTAACATATGAATGTTTTTCTCTTTGAGTTTTTTCAACTGGAGGCACAAAACACCAGAAGTACATATCTAATACAGAACTTGAGAGAACAATTCCCAGGCAAGCTCATTTTTCATAAATATTTTATTATTCTGCATATGAGCCTAATAAGTGTACTGAAACGAGTTACAGTTCACCTCAGAACTTTTTAGAGATCTTTTATTTTTCTTAAACAAAATGAGAATCTGGATTTCCCACCACAACACACTTTTTTGCATATCACAGTAGCACCAATGACAAAAATTTCAGAAATGTGAATTCTAAGAGTCTAAGGCACAATAAGGATGATTATACATTTCTCTATCCCTGAATAGACTTTTTTCCTTTCTTTTCTTTTTTTATTTTTTTACAGGCATTACGAGTAATGGCCAAAATTATGCGTGAATGTTGGTATGCCAATGGAGCAGCCAGGCTAACAGCTTTACGCATTAAGAAAACATTATCACAGCTCAGCCAACAGGAGGGCATAAAAATGTAATCCTGGATTTACTACTGAAGAGCGCTTTAAAGATCCATAGCTGAATCTGGGTGGCATGTTCAGAAGGTTAATAGCTCTACCTCACTGAGGGAACAGAAGGATATTGCTGCCTTTTGATACTTTATAGGAACATCAGTTGTTAGCCCCGGGATTTCTGTGAACATGGTAAACACTTGTGTTTGGGTCTTTTTTGTGCACTATGAACACCTCTTTCCCAGGACAATTACAAAACATTGTGTAGTCTAGCTTTATTTTTATTAACATGTAACTCTATTTTAAAAGTTGATTACTGGTCTTAACTTTTCATTAACTGTGCTGAAGACATGAAGATCATTAAGGTTTTGGAGCTGGTTCACTACATTGTATACAGTGCATTGAGGGTTCTTAAGTGATTTTATTTGAGGTTGGTACAACTGAGTATTCTGAACCACTGCAAACTTTTTCTTTGATTCAGGTTTTGAATGTATTATTGCAGTATAACTTTCTAGCTATTAAGCTTACATCTATTGACACCTACCTTGATTTACAAAAATGACCTCATTCACTTGTGGGGAACATAATTTATGCAACTATATTTTGTATACTGTTACTGTGCTTTCACTTATTCAGAACATTGCATTGCCTTCAAAATAGATTGTACTATACCAGTAAGTGCCACTTCTGAGTCTTTATAATGCAAATCAATAGGAACATAGAAAGTTTATGGTACTTGTGGTTTCAAAACAGAGTTCAAAAATGGAATTATTCCTTTGCTTAATGACATAATTAACTCTCTATTTGGCATGTAGCTGCATCATTCTTGGAATAACTTTTTTACCAAGATCTGATTCTTAAACCACTGTATGAATTTAAATGGTATGCAAGTTAGTTAATTCAGTGTTATGTTCTAGAACTGTGCATCACATGTAATAAGTTCTAATTATTCTATCTAATAAGATTTTTTTTTAAATGAATTGGCACTCTTAAAATGTTTGTCATACTCTTATCTAAGGCCTGGTCTACACTAGCAAGAGGACTAAAGGTTTTTAAGATAAAAGGAAAGAAGTTTTACTCTTTGAAGTCGTTTGTGAGAGATTTACTTTTCAGTTCCTCAGTCTTTCCTTTTTCTTCTCGAACAGTATTATTTGCAAAGACAAGAATTAACTTTATCTATAATTAGAGATGATTAACTGTAATATTTGGGCTTGTTTTATTAGGAACTTAAAAGCTGCTCTCAAATTATACATGCATATACTGTGTGTATGTGACCTGCACACAGTGGTGAGCTGCAAGACTTTGGATACACACACCAGAAGGTTCTGGTGCCCTTGTTATAACTACAAGAGCAAAGATCGTTTGTGTTGTCATTAGAACCCTGAAAAAAATATGCACAGATTTACTCAACCTTCAAATCTCCAACAGGTATATCTTTTCAGAGGATTTTAACAAACTTTTAAGATTCAGATTGTATCACTATCTGTCTGAATGTCTCTTAAAATTGTTAAACGCATGGGAGGTGAGGGGGAAATCAGGAGAATAATCTTTGTCCTGAAACTAAGTTTTTAACCAAATATCTGCTTGGGTAGCAGGCATTTGCCTAATATTGACTTTACTAATGCACACAAAAAAAAATGGATTGCTATATGCACAACATTTCTCACACACACACCCTAAGTCATCTCTCAGTCACACTCACACATCTTAATCGTATACCACACACTGCAATTTTAACTCTGTTCCCCTTTAAACCTTCATATGCCTGCTTAGGGAATTTTTCACCAGTAGAAGTAGCTATGTGGAGAAAAGGTAATTTGGAGAAGGGATTTTAGAATTGCATGTAAAGTTGTGTTGCTTGCTCTGTGATATATGCTAGCTCTGTAGTAACAGTAAGGTGTGTTGTGCCTGTGAGTGAAGGAGAAGAGGATATGTACTGTTAGATGGCAAAAGGTTTAATTGCCTTGCTTTCTGAGGTGTCTGGTATGAATTGTGCAATGTATAGCAACCCGAACTGCTTTAGTTTTTTGTTTCTTGGTATTGTAATGCTTAACTGGGGGTAAAGTGTAAATAAAATGGGGATTGTAGACCTCCTAGTGTGGGGATAGAAGTGCAACCGCTGACTGAATATTTTATCAGCTGCTGAGCGCGAACCCCCTTTTTCTGCTATAGGATAAAGTCTGGCAGAAAAGTGAAGCTCCTGATGGAGAATGATTGATTGGATCTGAGCACACACAGATTTGAAGTTTGCATATGCCTGCCCCATCCAACCAATCAGACTGGCATGTCCTCAGCCCCATCAATCAAATTTGTGTAAACTTGGCCATAATCCGTCAGTGAGGTTTGTATGCATAATCAGTCGTATCTATGTGGACTTGGACTCATCAATCAAGTTTAGGTGCATGGCACATCAACTTCCAGTTATAACAGGAACAGATAAAAATAACCCTAAATACAATATTTAAAAAACAAACTATCCATTGCATCAGATCTATTCAGTATCCACCTCTTTAGCCGTTTTTTTGTAGATACGGGATATATTTTTAAGAGATTGGTCAACAATAACAAAGTAGGACTACCATGGGAAAAATTAGAGCCCGAACCAAATTTCAAAGACTTCCCATTTAAAAAATTTGAGGCGAAACCAAGTAAAAACTTGCATAGTTCTTACACCCTCTGAATTTTCTAACCCTGGGTGATATTTCACACTGTTTGGCTGCCTATTTTAGAGAGAGAGGTATTTGTCACATTTTAGATGCAAAGCTAACTATGGAGTACCCACCAGGTGTGTCCACAACTTTGTATTCTGTAATCTGTATTTTGGGATTTGATAGTTGGGGATAGGTGATTTTAGGGTTTATTTTTCGTGAAACCATATTTTATCTGACCTTTACAATAGCCGTGAAATCGATACATTTCACAGCTATGATTTTAGAAAATATTACACACTTCTGTGTTATAAAAAATACAGTACTATCAAGCTAAAAGAACTAGAGCCAGATACACGGGATTGCAGCAGGCAATTTGCTCCAGTCAGCTGCACACTGAGATATTTAGATAACATTGTCTTCCCCATCTACTAACCATAGCTTTCTTTTGAAAGCTGCATTTTTTTCTAAATTTGTCCTCTGAATTTTTCAACACTTTGTAGTGGAAATTTGCAAAAAGAAGGTGGATTGATATATTGTCCAATTTTAATGAAGATTATTTTGAGGACAAACATGTGAATGATACCATAAAATGCACAACAGAAAAATTGTGAATAAGCCTGTACGTACCTTGGGTTCAGATGACATCACAAATAGTTTAAGCTTTGTTCTTGTGTTTTTCCATTATACAGTCTGAACGCCTTTATTGAATGGATGTGTCTGGATATTACATGCAGCTTTTTATGTTACCTGTGTAAAAATCATATATGTGCACACATTAATATTTTTTAAACTAAGCTTGTAAATCACCAGATTTGCTCTGGGACATCCAGGGGGACCAAAATATTTTAGCATTCAAAATATTAATTTTATATCATCTCAAGGGTATACCAAAACAATTTGATATAAGAAATACTGATGCAAATGTTTATTGTAAATATACATACACTATACATTCATTTCTTCAAGGTTCATGCATTTATTAAATTGGCATATTAGTAGCACTAAAGCCTCACTTCAGATTACCGACGTGGCCAGACAGCTACGGACAAACATAAGGAGGATTGTTGGAAACAGACTGGTACTGAAAAGACTGAAAAGTCCCACTTGGGATACTGGAATTCTTCAGGGACCCTCCAACCTTGAAAGCTGGAATTCTGGGACATTGTAGAAGCTGTCTGTTCAGCACTCGCACTCTTTCTCCCCCAAATTAAACTACTTTCATTTGTAATCCTAATGCGGACTTTGTATATAGGGATAATGACATTGGGATTGACTCTGTGAGGACTTTAAGCTATCAAATGAAGTAAGAGGCTATTTTTTTATTTTATTTTTTTTACAAAATAATTGTGAGTTGAGTGCCATGAAATCTTCTCTTTAGTTAGCTCCTTGTTTATATTGTGCCATTGAAATGATTACGAGGGTGTTGAAATTATTATACATGTAAAAGAAAAGCTTCAATGTCAGTTGCTTTAAACTTAAGTTACCTCTTAAAAGACCAAGGTACATTTACCTCATTGTGTATATAATGTTTAATATTTTTCACAACATTCTCCAAGTTTGCAATTACATGTTTCTAGAAAATATGGGTATTGCTAAATTTACAACTTCAGTGGTACTAACTGTACTGTTTCTCATACTCAAAATATGCACTCTTTATTTTCTGTATTTTATTGTATTTCTGTAAGTTTGTTGCTGCTTTGTCAATGTAGCATCTGCCCTTCCAGAGCTGTGTAGAATAATGCTTTGTATAAATTCTGCATTTTCGGTGGTAAACTTGAGAATCCTGTACAGATGAGTTTGTCTTTTTCTTTTTTTTTTTTTAAGCCTTACAAACTTGTGCATTTTCCCTTACATTTCTGAAAATTATGTATTGTATTGGTAGAGTATACAGTACAATGGATTGTAAATAGGAAAGTAGAAGAGTGATGCTTATGTTAAGTGCTAACACTACAGTAGAAAGTTTAAAGCAATGAAAATAAATTACTTTTTTCAAAGTAGATAAGTGAGCTGTGTCTTGTCTTTTGGAGAAAAAGTGGAAACATTATGTAAATATAATAGTTACAGAGAGCAGGATGCTTTGATCTACTATGGCCACTCTATACCCGGTAAGTGGTGTAAAATGGAGAGGTAGTTGGTGGAGAATTCCCCTTCTGTAGGGGAAATCTCTGCTGGTATAATAGTGGCAGAGGTGGCTTGCAAATGCTTGTGCCAACCACTCCACACCATGGCATAAGGGGAATGAGCGGGTTCCTGAACCTCCACCAGCATAACTGATCTTAAGTACCTTATATCAGTGATAAAAGTTAGAGTATGCCCCCTGCTGCTCTGTCTGCTGCAGATGAATGACTGAGTGGAAGGCTGCCACTCTCCACTATGTCCAAGAAATAGTGAGGAAATTGGCCAGGCTGTTAGCTTACTGTAGTAGGTCTACCACACTCAAAAGTGAAATGGACTGCTTGGTTTACTGCAAGCACTACAAATAGGAATTAAACTTTTCTTCCCTGGGAAGCAAATAAGTATTACATACACTAGTTCCCAAACTGTAATTCTAATTAACTTAATTGAGGATGTTCGAATGGATTGTTGCTTTACAAAACCCATTTTATAAACAAATATTCCATCTTGGAGAGATGGAGCATAGGTGCAACCACAGGAGAAAAGCTTGGGCGAGGGAGAATTTTATTCAGAATACATGGCAAAACACTAGGAGGCTGGATAGCCAACTAAGTATGCCTTTAGGTCTCCACCTCCACAGCCTATTAATCCATTCTACTCCATAATTTTTTTCCCCATCCCAATTTTATAACTAAGAACTTCTTACATTCCTGCCTCTCAGCTGTGAAATTTCTCACACTTTCTTAAAATCAAACTACTACCCAAACTCAAGTAACCTCTCTTGTCAGGATGGAAACATGGTTATTGTCCTACTGGATCACACCCAAATCATCTAGTTTAGAATCCTGACAAGGGCAAGAACCAGATACTTCAGAGGAAGGCATAGCCTGGAGTCGGCAGATGTAGGATAAACTCCCTCTTGCAGAGGTCTCATCCTGATCTTTAGAAATTTGCTTATGCCCTGAAGCACAAGGTTTAATATTGCTTCTAAACTTTCCTAATTTTAACAATTCATATTCTTGATCAATATAAATATCCAATCCCTTTCCTGAATATTGTTAGGTTCTTTGAGTAGCGTCCCTTTTGGTGCTCCACTTCAGCTGTGCATGTACCTCTTGAGCCTTCGATCACAGATTTTTTTTCATTAGCAGTGTTCATTCAGCTCACACATGCATCCTCTACATCCTCATGCTGCACACTGAGGCTTTATAAGGCTGCACAGGCAGGCTGCCCTCAGTTCCTTGTCAACTGTCTTGGATGGCTGATTTCCAGCAATTTCAGGACCTCAGAATGGGTGACAATACTCTTCAAATACCTCTTGAAGAGCTCAAGGATTTCCAACACAAGTTGCTTGACATTTTACAATCAGCAACACCATCCAGAGTTGCATTACCTATTAACGGCCCCCCAAAGACTGTTTGGCAAACACCTGCTATGGTTCTGCTAGCTTGCAAACAGGCAGATAAAAAATACTATGTTCCCTCCAATAACTCTGAATTATTTTTCTCCCACCTATCACCTAATTCTCTAGAGGTAGATGCCATGAACAAACTGGGTAAGCAATGCTATCCAAGTCTACCCCATATGACCATTACCCAAAAGTGCTCGGACTTCTTTGGACAGAAATCCTGCTTACCCACAACCCTGCAATTCCAGCTGGCAAACTATCAAGCAATCAGAATCACAAACTGTCCAGAGATCTCATCCACTTCAATTCTATAGTTTTCTCCTCAACTACTGGCTGATCAAGAGTCCATGGTACAAAGCAGTACTGTCATCTACTTAGATGGACTTTTCCCTTTTCTTGCAATTGGCTCTTCAGCTCAGTGTAAGAAAATCCACATTAACCCCTCTACAGCAAATAGACTTTGTAGGGGCATCCTTGAATTCATTGATAGCCAGGGCCTACCTCCCCATTCATAACCTTATTAAATCTGGTAAGTACCATTCTAGGGAGTCCTTATACCTCAGTAAGAAACTGGCTACAGCTCCTGGGTCATATAGCAGCTTGGCCTTCTATCTAGAGAGAACCAAGCAATTTCAGAAGTCACGTAGACTGTTTGTTTCCATCACAGATAGATCCAAAAGGTCCACGGTCTCCACCCATAGACTGTTGAGGTGGCTCTCAGATTGTATTGTTGCTTGTTATGAAGCTGGTCCTCAAACCTTCCCTCCCTCCCCTGCAGGGTGATAGCACATACTACCAGGTCACAAGCAATGTCCATGTCATTACTCAAAAACATTCCAGTATCTGAGTAATGTACTGCTACATAGTTTTCAATACATGCATTTTCTAAGCACTATGCCTTGATCCATGCCACTAGATCCAAAGTAGCACTGGGTAACGCAATTCTGTCTTGAGTTCTGAACTCAATTCTGATGCTCCCTCCTCCCTGTGGGGATACTGCTTAGGAGTCACCTGAAGTGGAGCATGCACAGAGACACTACTGGAATAAGAAGAAAAGATTACTAACCCAGTGTACTAACTCTGTTTTTTGAGATTTGCCTTCCCGCCCCCCCCCCCCCCCGCCATGGGTGCTCCACTACCCACTCTTCCCTTCTGCGTCAGGCTGTTCTCTGTGGGAAGTTTGGATAGACAAGGAAGTGAAGGTTGTTCTCCCACATAGCCCTTATAGCTTTGGTGTGTGGACTGAACAGACATGGCTGACAAATCTCGAATCCAGAGATTTGAGAGGCACATGCACACCTGAAGTGAAGCAGTTTTTGAGTAAATGTTTTCTTCTTGACCTCAACTTCCTGTGGCAATGTGTTCCACAGCTTAATCACACATTGTGTGAAAAAGTATTTCCTTTGACATTCCCACCTTTTAATTGAATGTCCTTGTCTTTTAATAGAAGAAAGATCTTCCCCATCTGCTCTCCATTGACTTTTATATACTGCTATCATGTCCCTATTTGACCCCTTTCTAAGGTAAATGACCTCAGTCTTCCTTCATGAGTTTTTCCAGGCACTTGATCATTCTCATCACTCTTCTCTGAACCCCTTCCCCTGCCATTCTGAAGTATCCTTTTTGACTGAGGGTAACCATTATCACACATAGTATTCTAGACAGGCTACACCATTCGTTGTTGTATGGCATAATATTACAGTATAAAGATTGCCCAACGCTTCCCATTATAAGACTTAACTTTGGCAAACTCCAACCATTTGGGTTGAAGTTTTCTATGCTGGATGTGTCTGCCTCAGGCTTTATTTTTATATTTTAATTTCAGCTGAAATGGTTCAGCAATTGCTGAACATGAAGCGAGGGAAAAAAATCTGGTGCCCTTTACATTGAAGCTCTAGCATCCCCTTTTTGAAGTTTGCACATGGTCAGAGATTTACTAATATTTAACTTAATTCTCTTCAGATTTGGTCCATGCTGGACATGATCCTGCCCAGGTCTTGAGGGTGCTGAGCAGGGTGTTCTTCTAGTGACTGCATGTATCCATTCCACTTCAGGTGTGCGTGTCCACGGCACCAATGTTGGAAATTTTTCCCTTAGTGATACCCATCAGGGCAGCGCATGTGCCCTCTGCTGCCTTGTGCTGCTGCACAATGATATAAAGGGTGGAGCTGCCCACAACCTCCTTGGTTCCTTCTTACCCATGGTCAGTAGTCAGAGCATACTGGCTTGCTTCTACAAGTGCTTTTCTCCCATTTCAAATAAATTGTTTATCTTGGCATTTGGTTTTGTAGTTTTATAGTGTAGTTTAGTGGATCTGTTGGTTCCCACTTGTTCTGGGTACTGACACCCTCTACTGAGGTATGCCTCAGTCTCCAAGCTTTATACCTCCATCCATGCTGGTAAGTGACCCTCATTCTCAGTGTTTAAAGTGCCTCAGCAAGGGTCACATCTGGGACAGGTGCCAGATCTGCTGGGATTTGAAGCCCTAAACCAGAAAAGACAGAGATGAGATTTCATCACCATCTCATGGAGGCTGCCCTGTACCTGCCTCTGGAACCTGTCTGCTTGGAGTGGGTACCGAGCATATCTACATCTGTAAGGAATGCTCGTCCAGACATTGCCGAGTCTTGGCGCTGCTCTCTTCTCCAGGGCCAATAAAGAAACACCAGCTCGGTGCTTCAAAGGACTTGTATTATATAAGAGAGAGGTCCCTGGCACCATTGACCAGCAAGCATGCTGGGAAACAAGGTAGAGAGTCCTCGGAGAAGAGGCACTCCCAGGTGCTGATAGCTGATGCTATTGAGACTAACTGACTGACTGCTCTGGAGTACAGTCCACAGTACTGACCCCTTTGATGTAGTAGCAGCAGACCCTCTTGGTACCGACAATACCGGAGGCATACGCTGCAGTGCAAGATCTACTGTGACTTTTGGCACCAGATTCTCTGGCGGCACAGGAGTCTACTCGTCCGGTACCAGTGGATAAGCAGCTTGTGAGGATTGTTCATCTCTGGTTACCTGGGTCTACTCCAGTCCATCCAGCATCTTCTTGGCCAGTACCATCAAGAGGCAAGCCCAGCATGCTCTCCCCTGAGCCTACATCTCCAGAGGCACACTGGCAGACCTCGGCATCAAGTGATTTGGCACCTCCCTGATAGGGAGACAAAGGCTCACCTTCGGAGCCAGAAGTAGGCTCTTCTGCCCCTCGCTCTTGGGACTGAAAGCATTGTTCACCTTCACTAAGAGGGCTACATTTCTGGTACACAACAGAGGGTCCACACTGGTCCAGAGACTCAAATCTCTGGTAGAGGTTGGGGTTCCATGCCCTACCTATGGTCTTACTGGAACCCATGAGGATTTCCTCCTGTCTCTAGATCCTCCTCCCTCCAGATCCTCAGCAAGAGACTTGGGACATTGTTCCTGGTACCAACACAAGACCAAACTCGCTTGCCAGAGTCTCCTGTGGAGAAGGTTC